ACACACACACACACACACACACACACACACGCACACAGAGAGAGAGAGAGAGAGAGAGAGAGAGAGAGAGAGAGAGAGAGAGAGAGAGAGAGCCAGCCAGGGTGGGAAATGCAGGTGTGTCTGTAAACAAGGATGGGTAAAGGGGCTGCCCGGGCTGGGCAATTGCAGAACAGTTGGTACACGAGGTTGGTTAATTCAACTTACATTTGAGAAGCCTTTGGCGAGGTACGTGGACTGACACTACAGGTAATGTGCAGGAATTGAGTCAGTCTGAGACGAAGAAATGCAGTGGACGAGCCAGCGACACACACAGCAGGGGTCTGGGGAGTTGCTGCTTATCACTGTTATCAGTGAATCTTCCTTCACTCACTGAACTGCTGCCACTGACAGCTGTCACCGCTGCAACGGAGCTGCCAGAAAAAGAAGAGAAGAGAAAATTTGAAGTTCAAGAATTTCACAAAGGAAGTGCAGAGTCGAAGAGTTGCCTCCTGACTCGGCGACTCGCTGGTCAACAACTGAGCAAGGCAGAGCAACTGATTGATCTTGCAGTGGAGGTTCATTCACGGGCGCTGTGCTGACGAAGAGTGATTTATCTCGCCAGCAGCAGAGAGCGCACACACTATAATTGTCATCACCACCTTCTCCATCATCACTCCAGGACCTTCCACTGTCGAGGCCATCACCGCAACTTCCACTTCCGGGAGTGTCACCACCAATGGCGCTGTGGATGAAGCTCATGGATGTGGTGCTCTACCCACCCTTGCTCTTCGTTCTCCTCCTCCTGCAACCCATCCTGTTGTTCAAGTACGCAGTACGTAGCCTACAGAATTTTTTTGGCTACGGCTATGACAGTGCGTGGGATCGAGCTGTGGTCATTACTGGTGCTTCCTCTGGTATCGGGGAGGAGATTGCCTACTCGTTCGCGAGGAGAGGAGCACGCTTGTTGCTAGCGGCACGTCGAGAAGACCGTCTTCATCAGGTGGCGGCTCGTTGCAGCCGGCTGGGAGCTCATCAGGTGGTAGTACATCGGACGGACGTGACCAAGCTTGAAGATTGCAACAGCATGATCAATGCGGCTGTGGAGCAACTAGGAGGGGTCGACATCCTCGTTAACAATGCCGGCATTGCGAAAGGCTTCTTCTTTGACGGCAAGGACGAGCGCCTGGTCGATGGCAAGCAGATTTTAGCAGTGGACTTTTGGGGCAATCTGGTGCCCTCGTACTTTGCACTTCCACACTTGACTAAGGCCCGCTATGACAGTCCTCGAAGGATCATTGTCATCTCCTCCACCCTGGGGACCTCCCCTTACCCCCGCTTTTCCTTTTATTGCGCGGTAAAATATGCCTTGCGTGGACTCTACGACAGTCTAAAGATCGAGATGAAGGATGGAGTTCGAGTGACCATAGCATATCCTGGCTTTGCGAGGACCGAAATGACCGGAGATAAGGACCTTTCTGCAATTATTGGCCGTATGGGTAATTTGCTCATGGTCGATTCTTCGGAAGTTGCTGAAGAGGTTGTGGACGGAGCACTCGCTAGGAAGACACACGTCTTCGTTCCGTCCTATTGCTTTGCGTTAGCTTGTTTCCAGGCCCTTGCCCCTGAGGTTTTACACCTGGGTGAGTGGCTGTACATGCGTTATAGTGTGCTGTACACCTGAGTGGCTGTACATAGTTGGGAGCTAATGGCCCACAGTGACACTAGGAACACGTGTCACCTGTTGTGCCCTCAGCTCAGGAGACTAATACCATGAAAAATTTGCCCGACAGTTTTCGCAATGACAACAGCAGCTGAGCAGCAGGGTGGTATGCAGTCAGACAGACACACACTCAACGCAGTCATGCTTTTCCTTGTGGAGTTGGTGTATAGTGAAAATGACCGTCACAGCACACAGTTATTAACTGTTGTGTATAGCAAACATGTCAAAACACATTAAACTGTTGAGTCGGTGTAAGTCCCACGAAACAGTCTGGCACTGTCATGCTCATGTGCTTTTGTGGAGTTGTGTATAGCCATATGACGACACACACACACACACACACACACACACGCACACACACACACACACACACACACACACACACACACACACACACAAACACACACACACATGCACACGGACATGCACATGCAAACACATCACATGCACACACATGGGGGGACTTCACACACACACACACACACACATACACACACACATGTACACACATGTACACACATGGGGAAACTTGTAGGGTGTTTTGAGCAGTGGTGCTCCTGGTGTCAAGTGGAGATCTTGTGGAGTTTGGGATTATTGCACTGAGTCTAACCTTGGTGGTCACGGTGTGATAGAGATGATGGCTATGTGTATGGGTTAGCTTGGGATGAATGGAAGTGCCAGTGTTGTTCTATTTGTGCAAGCAATGAGTGAGTGGCTTTTCAGTTTTCGAAATTTTTTAGACCACTTGTCACTTGACAATGTGGGAGTGGTGTTTTCTTGTTACCGGTGACCACTATTCTTTTGAGTCCGGACCCATGTAATTGCGAGCATGCCACTTTGGCAGCAGATGGGTGTGTGGGGTCGTGGTGATGATTAACCACACAAATGTGGCCAACATTCATTTTCTACTATATTGCCTATCTACACTTTTTGTTTTGTGAATGATTTGTGTGATGGTGGATGAAAGAGAGAGAGAGAGAGAGAGAGAGAGAGAGTTTATTGTTTTTCTTTAACAAATGCAGAGATGTGGTCAGCTGGTGCTGAACTACAATCACCGTGGCAAGTTGTGTAAGTGAGTGGCACAGAAAAGCGGGAGCTGCAATAAAAAGTGGAAGGTGTTAGCCGAAGAAAGCCACAGGAAAGACGAGTCAAGAAAGGGATATATTAACGGATTTGTTCAGAATCTGCTCCATGTTGCTCGTTAAAACTGTGCCATTTGAGTGGCTTATCTTATGTGTGCTCACTGTCTGTGATAGAGGTAGGGCTGCATCGATATTGGATGTACTCATCTGCCACTCATCTGCAGTGGGTGAAACAGGGGCTGCGGTGGTGAAAATCCACACAAACACACACACACACACACACACACACACACACACACACACACACACACACACACACACACACACACACACACACACACACACACACAC